ATATATATAATTTGTGGGGGGGGGTCCCGCCTTGGGGCGGGAAACCCTCCATTCAGATGCGACCTATAAAAGGTATGCATGTGTGAACCGTTGGCCTGCACCAGTTGCATGCTGACTACGTTTGGACGGCGTGTTAGGATGCGGCGGGAATCCAGTAAGGTGAGAGGAGAGTTGGACGGCTTGAACTGTGGAGGCTGCCTTCGGCATTGTGAGGAGCAGGAACACATCTCGAAGGTATACATATCTTGCTAGTTAAATATAGGGTTAGTTGAAGTTTAAAGAAAAAAAATTGTATATTCCCTGGAGCTCCGATATACTATACAAATCCCTTGAAATGCTCTCTATATTTGGTCCTCTAAGGTCATGCAACCAGGGTTAGATAAGCAGAAAAATAGGGGAGTGTTCCAAGTGAGGATCACAGAAAGTGGTTGCTTAAACAGACCGAGACCATTAAATCTTATATAGGCTTTATTATGTTTTACAAAACATCAATTCTTTGCAACAACACTTCCGCTTCTTACTGACACAATAAAAGAAACAACGTTGTTTGTGACACTCAAACACTCATTCATACACACTATGGGCCCCACACACACTGCGACCAAGCTTAATCCCTGTAGAAACGAGGGAGTGCTCCCAAATGAAGCACCTGATAATAATCATTGCTAAACCCCTTGACAGACGATGATTTGGAATATAGACAAAATAGATCAAGTAGGACAACTCCTTGTATAGGTATCCCGATGTCTGATGGATACTATCTATCAGTTGGTGATTGGTATAGGAAGTCTCTGTAATTCACCATGGATAGAGCAAGGGGACACATTCCTGTATAAGTAAGGTGTAGTCATGGACTTTCATATATCCGTGTTTTTTATTAATCTCTTTAAGGAGAAAAAAGTCCTTCACTTGGTTTCCTAGGTCCTCTAAACCTTCCCCTATATCAATGAATTCCTCCTGTAGTAATAGGTATTTTTTCGAGGGGGAGACCTGTGATGGACTATTTGAAGCTTGTTTTATAGTCAGCCGTACTCACAGTTGGTCATCTCCTTCCCCTCTTTTGCGAGTCCAGATATCCAGATGGAAGTCCTGTAATCTCAGTTGTAGGGGGAGGATTTTGTAGGGGGTTTTTAGATTAAACTCGTGGTTTAGAGGAGATGATGTCTCTCCGTCGTTTTTTTTTTTCGGGTTGCAGTCAGCAGTTTCTCAATGAAGCAGTCGTCTGTGTGGGTCACATAACACACATTAACGGGTAGACGCGTTTCGCTCCGCCCACCGGAGCTTCGTCAGAACCATAAGGATGGCTGGTGGATGGTTACCTTAAATAACCAGTCATGCTACATGATTATATGTTCTGAGTGCAGCTTTTTATTTTACTTTTGCACAATGAACATCTCATTATACTAATTGTCATAGATGATATTCTGATGGTTGCAAGGATAGGCAATAATAGTCAGGATCTGCTGAGCCACTGAAATATGTTCTCTGAAATATGAAACTACATCACACGTTGCCTCTTGATGGTGCCAGAAATCACTGAAGATGCTGGTATAGGTATTTAGTAGGAGAGATTTCCCCATTTAACACTTCATGAGCGAGACTCACCCTACTCTTCTGTGAGTGATTAAAGTGTCCTATTCATGTCTCAGGAGATTACACACATTTATACATATTGGTGCTTGTGCAGTTCTTGGTTGTTTTTACAAATGTCTGACACAGATCAGATGCTGCTAAGTCTCACCTTGTGATTTTTGCAAACAAGTTACAATATTTCATTCTGATCACTAGCGGAGTGAAGACTGAGGGAATGCTTCCTCTTGCCTGCAACAGACCGAAGGCATATTAGCCTAGGCAAAATCACTGGCCTGAAGCTCAATTATTAACTTTTAATGATAAAAAGTAAAGCTTTTTCTTAAAAAAATTATACGGCTGCCCTATTTTGTAAATTTTTCTAAAATTTGTAAAGCAACTGAGAGGTTTGACTTTAACATGTTCATTTTACAATTAGTTAATTATGTTCCATTACCCATAAGAAAATTAAATTACCTGTGTCTGTTGTGGACAGCTCATACAGTTGCTGCTGAAGTTCTTTGGCTTTAAAGTATTCCACTTTCATTTGATAACATGTTCCATACCTCAAGTGAAATATACACTTAGTTGTTGATTCATACGCTCCTGTAGCATCTTTCCTATTTTTTAAAGAAACCAAATTAGTAATAATCAAAATACTTTTTACATGTATCCTTGCCCAATATTATACCACAAAGTTAACATTTTAATTACAACAGCTTCAATCATCCATAAGAAAAACACACCATGATGCATGCTTGCTTGTATAATGTCATGTTTCCTAAGATTTTTAAACTGGATGTGTATGCTTTCAATATACAGTGGCAATCTGTGCTCATGGTTGTTAATAAATGGCCACAGTTATAACATTTGGTTCTCACTGCCCAGTAACTACTGTGGTTTCTGATTGAAGTTGGAAGGAAAATGTCTGTGTGTATAGTGTGCATTGTGGGACATATCTCCATTGACTTCCTTGCATCTTCTTAGATTTGTCAGGTGCTACTTGTCCTTTTATACAAGTCAAGCAGCTCATGTAGGACAGGTGTCCCTAAAGTCTAGTGTATCAGCTGTTGCTACAGTCAAGTGGGTCAGGTGTCACTACAGTCAAGTCGCACATATGTTGCTACAGTCACCTTGGTTGTGTTTTCCCACACTCAACTTGGTTAGGAGATGTGACTACTTTACAACACACACAGGGACCATGGGGAAAAATGTAGCCACCCTTCAGAAGAAAGGACAGTGCCAGCACAAATTCAGAGATGATTTGAGGATCTACAGCTCAATGATACACAAATAAGATACATTTTTGTTAATAGTTAGGGTGCTTGAATGCATTTTTAAGATTTAAAGGAGAACTATGAGGTGAGTGCTTTTCACTCACCTCATAGTTCTAGCCGACCTGTGACAATGAGACTGCCACAGGTCGGCTCAGTAGATGGGGAGGTGAGCGAACACATATCGGCATTCGCTCACCTCTCGATCCTGTCACAGCTCTCTGCCGTGACAGGGGAGGGGCTGGATTCCCCCCTCCCCGCTCCGATTCGCCAGCGCTGACTGGCGGAACGGACGGGGAGGGGGCGGGTACAGCTGGCTCTGCCTCTAGATAGGCAGAGCCAGCTGTCACTCACGCAGCTGGGCGGATCCAGACATAATTGTCGGGATCCGCTTCAGCTGCGGCGTCTCAGTATACGAGCAGTAGCTTGCGGTATACTGCGATGTCTTAGTATACCGCGAGCTATACTGAGCTTAGGGTGACAGGAGGACGCTAGTTTGTGTCCTCCCGTTACCCTAAGGAGAACTATGCGGAAAAGCCTTAACCCCATAGTTCTCCTTTAACTCCTGAGTTTGGTGTCACTTTAAGCCAAGTGGGTGAGGTGTTGTTACAGTCAGGTGTATAGAAAGAAAAATCCAGTTCTCCACTGCAGACACAAGTCCCTGCACTCCTGAAAATGGGTGCAAGTTTACCAGCAGTCCATAATTTGTTCCATATTTAAGTAATACAAAAAGAAGAAGCTGCACTCCATATTGAAAATCTGTAAGAAGGATTTATTCAAACATCTGCAGGCTTTGCAGATGTACTTGAACCTCCCCCCACTAACGTTCTTCACTCACAAAGAGCTTCATTGTAGAGAAAAGGTTGCAAAGCAGAAAGGTATATTTAAGAAAGCTTAATCTAAAACAGCCATGGCCACAGGAATATTGTTTAACGAAAGCCACTATATATTT